AAAAATCATACGTTTTATTGACTACACTGCGAATAGAATATCAAAAAAATAAAAGTCATGAAAGTCACTCCATTGAAGTGTTATCGTTAGATATGCAAAGTTGTTTTCACCAGACCAAGATGACATCAGTTTGAGTCAGACGACATGTGGACCTCGCATAATGAGCGGTTGAAAAACAACGGGCGTGTCGTTCACGCGTCTGATTGGAATGCGAAAAGCAAGATAACACATTCAAACATGTATGCGATTAACAGTATATATATGATTTGACAAGTCATGACGAGGATAAATTTATAGAGCATGATGTTAGCAAAATTTTTTATAACAACAAATATGAAGAGCGAATAATATTTCTTTCTTAACACAGCCACAAAAACATGCTCATAGGTGACCTCTCGTATCTATATATGGATGGGTTTGTGGTGGTAGACGTGTTTCTGTGAGTGATATTTAGAGGAAGACAAAAACGAAAATTTGAAAGGTAACCATCAAGCAAGAGTTGGTATTGAAGTGTATATAAAAGGGCATTATCATTGATAACCTGAATAAATACGATATAATATAAATATGTTATGGGAGAATCGGTGTTGTGAGACCGACGAGAAAATATATTGCAGGAATCATGAAACAATGTGATCGTGGGGTGAAAATGAGATTGGTAGACAAAAACGCACATAAGCAGGTTGTCGGTAAAGTTAAAAATTGATGAAGCTTGTGGGGTGGGTACGAAAGGAAATATATGTTGTTGAGCATGAGTATGCATGATGCAGGAAGTCCATGAAGAAGCCAAACAAAAGGCCATATCGGTCAAACCCATTGAAGAATCAAAGTGTGGGTCATTGGTAAAGCAAACAGGAAAAAAAAAAGACCGGTGTGGCATAATAACTTGCAGATGACGAGTTAACAATTTATTATGAATGACATTTTTGTAATAAAGACTGTTAATTTGCGTGAATTGGGGTTCATGAGGGAGAGAGTTTTGAATCAGCAGGTGCCGGATCATCATTAGCATGAATATTTTATAGTCGAAGTTATTGGTTTGAATAAGGTTGTCAATCATGCTACTATAATCATAATTTTTTCATCGAGCTAGTCTCGAAGTGTACGCAAGAATCCGTTGTCGTTGAAGTATAAGTTGTAGTAATACAAAACTTAAAATTGAATGGAATCCAAACAACTCAATGCCCAGTGGTTATTGTTCATGTAGACAATAATAAACAAATTTGTAAGTGTGGATAGTGAATGTGCAATGTCGGAGCTGGTGGACAACATATCGATAATCTTTGACTTTCATGTCATAGGTACGTGAAGCAATATAGGACAACCACAAAAGGCATTGTAGACATGAGAAGCTCCGAGCAGTCATCAATAAGGGTTTGTGATAAAAAGTCGTTCTTGTGCAAAGTCGCATAAGGACAAACCTGAATCGGGTTGATATTACTGTTTGATGGATTTATGTGCATATTGATAGACATCAGTGAAGTGTTGAGGGCTGTAGATTTTAAAAGTGGTGGAGGGCTGTAGTGAATTTTGGAAGTGTTTGTGCAAGGGTCGATCCATAAGAAGTGTACAAAAGAGCAAAATGTTATTTGATGATACTAAATAACCATTCTGTGGTGGTACGTAGGAGAAATTAAAAGTTGTGGAGGGTTGTGGAGAATTTGAGAATGTTTGTGCAAGGGTCGATCCATAAGTAGTGTACAAAGGAGCAAAATGTCATTTGATGAAACTAATTGGATAAGAGAAGAAGAGAGGTTTGACAATACGAAAAGGTTCGGTAACACAGGAGTAGGGAGGATGTTATGAGGGGAATACAAAAAAAAATCTGCAAGAGAAGGAAACTGTGGTTTGCATTGGAAGGAACAAACTGTTGACATGATGTATGAAAAGGAGGCAAAGCATATGTGGCTTATCGGTTCGGCAGGAATGTGCTACATAATGGTCAATGGATATAGAGCGGTTTGAAAGAGTATTTGTTAATGATGACAATATCATGATACACAAGTAAACACATGGTTAGAAATGTATATAGTAAAATACAGTAGGATTTTGAATGTTAGAATATGACATTTTATTTGTGTACAAATTTTCGTGGAAAGTGGTGAGAGTATTGTTCATTTATACTTAATGTAAGGAGGGTAGGAACTGAAGTTGTTGGGGTTATTGGGATGGTCCGAAGTTTTTTAAGTTTGTAATAATATGTTGTGTGTGGTTTCCATCAAAACTGAAGTTGACAATGTGTCAAGCATATGTTGAACATAATAATGAGGATGAGTGAGACGTAGAATAACTGATAGGTATACATAGCAACGTGGCAATGCTAGTGTTATCATGTGGGGATTCTTATAGTTGAAGTTCGGGTAACAATTTCAACGTTGGAATCCTGTTACAGGGATCCTAAAACCTTGCTCCCATGAACTGAACGTCACCGCTGCTCTAACCCCGGTACCCCCATTGTTATCTCGCACGTCTGCTCCTACAGCCTGCAGCATTGAGCTCGCCACCTTTGGATTCCCGCCTCCCGAATGTTTGCTCTTACCAGCGTCTCCCACATACCACTGCGTTGATGTTAGGAAAACAAAAATGTCACTTGGAGAATTGATAAGGTGAACCTCACCTTGCATCAAGAAAGGCAGAAATAAAATACCGATAGGAATACATATCACATTGTCGTTGATCTGCATAGAAAACAAATTTGAAGAAGTGCAGTGCAAAAAGGCTAACGAATTGCAGCTTGACAAAGTAAAAGAGAGGTAAAAGAGTGCAGAAAATAAGGTTGTTGTGTAGGTGGTTAAAAAATGCAGGTGACATTTTTGCCTGAGAAAAATCATAGATATTTATAAATGGTTTATCTAATAGCAAGTAGCGAATCATAAAGAGCATAAATACACCACAGTCTTCAGTAATTCATTGAGATGGTTGGTTCAAAATTGAGCAAGAAGCAGTTGTCAATCTTTTGAGCTTATCGGTTCTGTGAGAAAATCAATTTTTGATTATAGTAAAAAAATTGTTGTCATTGAAATATAAATTGTGGTAATTAAAAAATCGATAATTTTATAGATCGAGAAAATTCAAAACGCAATGATTGTTGTCGCAATAAATAGGGAGGAGAAAATGTTTAACAACTGTAAGTGAACATTCTTGAAGGTAATGACGAATTTGTCGGCGAACGTATACATACTCGTTCTTGGTGATTCCTTCACTGTAAGTAAAACAATTGACAGTAACATGTAGACATTAGAATATTAATGTATTTATTAATAGGTACATTAGATAACCAAGCAGATCCATGAAGTGTTATGTATAAACAATGTCGAGACAAATACCCTAACAAGGGTATTTGCCGGGGTTTTTCAACGTCGGACGCTTTCGTTGGATTGAAATACTTGATGAGACCGACGTTTGCCAAAAGTTTATTCAGATCTGACCTACGACTCACAGACTAGAAGTTTTTGAACGTTAGTCCGAACGCGTGTGGCATCCGGGAGTAATGGATATGAATGGTAATGCTTCGTTTTGTCGAAGCCTCAGGATGTGCGGACTTGGGAAAGGTAGCAGCCGCGCGATTCAGAGCCTAAGTAGGTTAAAAAGAAGGGTGCGCCGCGTATAGGGCCGGGACACGAGAAAAATAAGAAGATTCAGGGCCACGGGCATTGACTTTGAGACAGGGGGCCGAAAGGCCGAGCCTGAGCCCACTCGCGTGAGTGATCTCAAAGCCGTGGAGGGGCACCATCCACAGGGGAAGCGTTGGGCAAGATAGGCTGGGTCCGTTGAGTGTGGGATGGGCCTACTGGGGACTGCACCTCTATGTATAGAGGAGGTGCAGGTCTAGCTCCCGTGGTAGGAGCAATCCCAGTAGGTTACAGTCCAGGACTCTCACCCAGCAGATACCAGGATCAAGCCCGGCCGCACACAACCTACTGGGCTAACTGCTTTTGGAGCATGCCAGGCAGATCAGCGCGACCGATTTCGGCCGCGCGATCATCAAGATCGTGGGGTTGAGATCTGCCGCGAGAGATGGCCTCTGTGCAAGGATGACACACTGTCGGGCGACCGAAGGCCAGTCGGTCGCCCTAATATCGGCGGATTGACCCTTAGAAAAGTTGTCTGAGAGGGAATCGAACGTGTCTTTTGTCCGACCGGTTGGGAAAAATTAGGGGTACCTCGAGCATCCCTAAAATTAGAGATGACGACTGTTGAGACTAGCCCTAGAAATTGACGAGAGGGGCTACCTCTTCCGCCGCGCTGAGGCCTACCTCTTTTCCGCCAACTCCGAGCCCGTTACCGGAACGACTGGCCAYGGGAAGGTGATTTGAGAGTGGGCTTTGGTAAGGCCTTTTTACGTTGTCCAACTGACGCGAGAATGGGACCTCATATTTCTTTAATTTCAATATTATAATTAAAAACGGAAAAAAGAATAAAAAACGATAAAAAAAGAGAGAAAAACCGGATATTGTTTATTTTATTTAATTTCCTTGGTATTTAATTCTAATGAAATCACCCTCATTATTTGGTGTTTCCGGCAATGCAATTAAAAACAAGAAAAGGGATCAGAACCACTAAAAAGGAAAAGAAAACGAGGGATTTTGATGTTTTATTGAATTTTGTCGGGAACCATTTTTGATGAAAATCATTTTAATTTTATTATTTATGATATAGAAATAAGAAAAATAATTAAAATAATAAAAGGGCGAGGAACCAACGATTATTTAATGTTTAACTAATTTTTAAATTAATTGTTCACGATTAATTTTGACCCCGGGGTATTTATCTATTCATCTTCCGACGATTCTCTCCATTTTCTAACGATTGAGATTTGCATGTGTGACTTACCCGATTTCCCTGATCCTTAGCCTCACCGCGACCCATGTGCTATGAGTAGTGTCGCAGTTGTGTTACTTATGTCGAGCCATCCGCGTCATTGTGTTGGTGTGGCCGCCACTCCGGTTCGAACGTGAGGTTTCGGTACCGATATGGCGCATGGTATTGAGGGCCGGCATTGCTACAATACAGGTTGCTGCGGGTCGGAATGGTTATTTCTGGTGGATACTTCAGGCTCGACGTTAATACGGTAACGATACGGTCTGTTGTACGGCGACGCCACAGGCTGTTGCTGTTCAAGTTGGTAATTCTCAGCCTCGGTATTGGAACGGTGACGCCACAGGCTTCTGCAGTTCAAGTTGGTAATTTCAGCCTCGGCATTGGTACGGTGACGGCCCAAGCATTACAATTTACGATGACTATTTTTTGTGCATTTGGGTTGGCACGACTATAGGCCTCCGAGGCTCGGTACAAACGATTCGGGGGACCTGACCGGTCCAGTCATTTCCTGATAAAGTGTTCTGGTACGCAGGTCCGGTGCGGGCATGGAGCACGGAGTTACACACTGAGGTTTGCCCTGCACCGGCGCTTAGGGAATTCAGGCCCTGCCTATGCTGGTTCCGTTGGGCCTTACTGACTCTGAGTCTGGGAGCTTGGGTAAGTTGGGCCGCAGCTGTATAAGGCCGGAGAGGGAAGTGTTGGGGGACCATTCGGAGAAGGGAGACGGGGTAAGCGTGCCTGGCGTACGCAGTCCACGCTGCGCTTCGGAGAGGGTTTGGACAACCCCGTTGGAGGGAAACATGTGGAGTGTGCCCGACGTCCGCAGCCCACACTCGAAAAGCCCGGTTAGCAGAGGATGCAGGGGATAGAAGTGCAATGGGGAAGAGACATTGCGCGTGCCTGACGTACATAGCCGCTGGCATAGAGTCAGTTCATGAGCAGGCACAACGGGGTGAGGTGTGTACCAGCAGTGCACAGTGCGACGACCACGGGCTGACGTCTCCCTCAAATGATTAATTCAACACAGCTCGAGTAAGAAAAATGAAAGAAATGCGCTTTCCGTGGATGAGAGAGAGAGAGAGAGAGAGAGAGAGAGAGAGAGAGAGAGAGAGAGAGCGGACTAAGAGAGAGAGTGGAGAGCGGACTGAGAGAGAGAGAGAGAGAGCGGACTAAGTGAGAGAGAGAGAGCGGACTGAGAGAGAGAGAGAGGACTGAGTGGAGGAGAGAGAGAGCGGACTGAGTGRRAGAGAGAGCCAACGGACTGAGAGAGAGAGAGAGAGTGGAGAGCGGACTGAGAGAGAGAGTGGAGAGCGGACTGAGAGAGAGAGAGAGAGAGAGCGGACTAAGTGAGAGAGAGAGAGCGGACTAAGTGGAGGAAAGAGAGAGCGGACTGAGTAGAAGAGAGAGACAGCAGACTGAGGGAGTGAGAGAGAGAGCGGACAGAGTGTGAGAGAGAGAGCGGACTGAGTGAGAGAGAGAGAGAGAGAGCGGAGTGAGTGAGAGAGAGAGATAGCGGACTGAGTGAGAGAGACAGAGAGAAGAAGGGAGAGAGAGATACTGCACAGTGAGAGAGAGAGACTGTGCAGTGAGAGAGTGAGGAAGAGACTGTTTCTATAAGAGATGTGTGTGTGAGAGAGCAAGAGAGGGAATGAGAGAGAGATAGACTGTCTGGCATTCCCGCTGCTAGCGGGGGTACTTGTCAGTGTGACCAATCAAGCAGATCCTGCAGCAGATGCTCATCAGGACAATACCAATCTGGCATTCCCGCTGCTAGCGGGGGTAATAGTGTGACCAATCAAGTGGACCCTGCAGCAGGTGCTCATCAATCAAATACCAATGTGACATTCCCGCTGCTAGCGGGGGTGCTTTTCAGTGTGACCAATCAAGCGGACCCTGCAGCAGGTGCTCATCAATCAAATACCAATGTGACATTCCCACTGCTAGCGGGGGTGCTTTTCAGTGTGACCAATCAAGCGGATCCTGCTGCAGGTGCTCATCAGTGAAATACTAATGTGACATTCCCGCTGCTAGCAGGGGTATCAGTGTGACCAATCAAGCAGATCCGGTGCAGGTGCTCATCAGTGAAATATCAATCTGACATTTCCGCTTCGAGCAGGGATGCTCTTAAGTGTGACCAATCAAGTACATTCTGCTGCCGGTTCTCACCAGAGGGATAATAGTCTGACCTTCCTGCTGCTAGTGGGAACAACGCTCGCCAGCAAAACTGATCAAATAAGTGATCCCGTTGCCAATGGGAACGACGCCCTTCGGTGAACGACGTATCAAGCAGCTCCGCTGTCGATGACCGAGCAATTGAGCCTTCCCGCTGTTGGAGGGGTCAGTGTTTTCCTCAGAACGGCGAATAGCCAATCAGGTACTCGTAGGTAATCTGTGCGCTGCAGCGAATAGTGCTCTCCGTTCACCACCAAACTGAACTTCAGAGTTATCGGTCATTCAATGTGATCAATGTTACCTTGAATATTTGATTTTTCCTTTCTCCCCTCCCCTTTTCCCCTCGCCTGTCAGAGAGAGAGAGAGAGAGAGAGAGAGAGAGAGAGAGAGAGAGAGAGAGAGAGAGAGACAGGGGAGGAAGAAAAGAGCAGACTGAGTGTGTGTAAACGAGTATATGTGAACGAGTTTTGTAAGAATGAGTGTGTAAGAGAGAGGGAGAAGAAAGAGTAAAAAAAAAGCTCGTATGCGCAAGACGCGAAAGGGACACGGGACTGGGTTTTTGCCTCCCCTCGGGTCGAAGGAAGAAAGAAGGAGTAAGGGGAAGGAAGAAACAGAAACACTAAGGCCAGCGTTTCGGGCTTTGATCTGATTCGCTGACCATAAGAAATCTGCAGACTGTGTGTATTTAAGCTTGCTGTTTTTCCCTTGTCGAATGATAGGAACTGGTCACCACTCAGTCGCATGATCACTCTGGCCGAGCATTGCGAAACGAGCTTTGTGTGTGATGCTGTTAATTTTATTGACAACTATGAACTGAGATCAGATATATCGCATGAACTCTGGCTGAGTATTGGAAAGCGAGCTTTGTGCATGTCGCTGTTATTTTTGTTGGCTACTGTGGGCTGAGATCAGATCCCTCGTATGATCAGTCTGGCTGAGTATAGTGAAACGAGCTTTGTGTGTGTTGCTGTTGAATTTGCTAACCTTTGTAAATTGGAACCCAAACTTTCGCATAATCGTTCTAGCTAATCGCCGAGAAATGAAACTTGATATGACTCCCCAACATTGTGCTCCCAACCTCGTTAAAGAAGGGGGAAAGACGTCGGAATACGCGACCCTCGTCACCCTACGGTTGTTGAGGACCTCGGAAGTGGGCGCGGCGAGTGACAAGCGTCGTTGCCCTTGGCTTCAACGAACTGTAGGCGCCCCTCCCCAGGTTTCCTCACAACTTTGGCGCCATTGCCGGAGAGGGGATTGCACCCTCAAGGCCGCGGCCTTCCCCAATCAACAAGGGTGACCTGGCTAATTAGCCAGGAGTTAGTTCGATCTGAACAGTTTGATTAGTTGATTTTCTCTAATATTATTAATTTCGAATTTCGTTTTTTTCAAATATCTCCAAATCCGCGCGTTTTTGCGCGAACATCACTGGGAGTAAAGTACGTCCTCTCGTCAAGGCGAACATTTTGGTATGTTTTTTGAAAAATTATAACGGCTATAAAAAAAATATATGAATTTTTTGTATTTTTTAATTAAAAATCCCAAAAATCACGAGTTTAAATTTTGAGTTCGTTTTTTTTCGATATCTCCCGATCCTCGCACTTTCGCGCGAGGCGGACCGGAGCAAAGTTCAACCACTTGTCGAGGCGAACGTTTTGAGACGTTTTTTGAAAAATTATAACCGCTAAAAAAAAATATATGGATTTTTTTGTATTTTTTTAATTAAAATTCTAAAACTTACAGATTTCTTTTTATTTTAATTGCGAAGAAAAAAAGCGGAATTAGGGGAACACCGCCGAACCAAAGTTGGTCCTTGTATTTTTCCCGACATTTTGGGACCATAGTCGGGGAAAATGGACTTCGTTTGGGCAAACGACGGGCACAAACAGATAGAGAAGAGCGAAAAAAAATAAGGGAAAAAATTAAATTTCTTTGTAATTTTGTTTAAATTAAAATAAAAAGAAATTAAAAAATGTAATCCGATAAGTTTTTCTTCTAAACCTAGTGAAAGCTAACAAAAATTTTCTAGCATCGATCAGGGCTTTGCGGCGTGCGTGCGGTCGTACACAAAACGGAAACCCTAACGATTTGAAACCCTAGCGGACTATAATTGGCTAAGCATAGTTTGAAGTTTATTTTATTCTTTTACTCCTGAACCGAGTAATTTTGGCCGATAGATATCGGGACCAAAGTTGTGCGGTTCTTCTATCTGAAATTCTTGGGATCTACCGCGGACAAAACCGTCAGTGGAAAATTCGGTTTTAGAATTTAATTGAAATTTTAATATGTAATTTGTTAATTAAGAATTATTGTTATTGTAATTGTTGAAAATCCGAGCGGTTTTCGGTGGCGCGCACCGATCGTGATTTTGTTCGGAAGATCCTTTGCGAAATTTGGAGACCTTCCGCACGCAAAACCGACATACCAAACTCTCAGAAAAGAATAAAATATACCGAATAATTTATAAAAAATTCCCTTAAATACTTGAAAATATCAAATTAAATACTAAAAATTAAAAATAAAATGAATTAAAGTGCATTTTATATTTCTGGTCGGACGATAAATTATATTTTTTGACAACACACAGATTGGAGGAAACTTCTTGTTTCCCTCAAATAGAGCACATGCCTTCTATTTGAACATTTTCTGAAAAAGGCATGTGGGCTCTATTTAAACCGAGATTTCGAACCCCTTCCCTCTGAGATCCGTCTAGACTTTGTTTAACACTACCCGGATGAGGGGATTAGTGCGGCTTCGGGCCCTCTCCGAACCACAAAGAATCTGTCGACCCGCGTCAGGAGATCAATCGCCCTGTTAGGCCGCCTTGGTCCTCTTTCCTAGTACCTATTATACTTCACTCTACTAGTGTCTCTTGAGTTTTCTCTCACTTGGCTATTTTTTTTTACTATTGTGAACCTTCCTTCCCACGTAGGGGAGTCATCGATTAGAAGTGTTCCCCCATCCCGCCCGCCCTTCTCACTAAGAAGTTTTGCGTACTGCAGGGTGCTGCTGATCAGGGGTGCGGCCCTCCCGCCCACCTCTTTTCTTGGGCTCTGCTAACCTGGGTTTGAGGCGCCCCCCGAATAACTGAAAATGGGTCCGGGCTGTCGCCCGGAAGCTCAATTCAAGCCATCAGGGGTGCCCTCCCACCCACCTCTTCTCTTAAGCTCTTCTCATCAGGGTTTGCGGGGCACCCGGGCAACTCAAAATGGGT